TACTACTCCCTTTTGACGGTTCTCGAGTTGATTTGGAGATTATGTCATGACCTTTTTAAAGGTAATAGATTTCATCGAGAACAAAAATAAAGTGTAAAAATGTCATCCTTACATTGAAAAAAAATAATATTTACTCACCTTTGTGGGTACATCATACAAATAAAAAACAATAATAATAATAATATTACTAACCCAATAATCCTAATTTACATCATACAAATAAAAAACAATAATAATAATAATATTACTAACCCCAATCGAATCCTAATTTACATCATACAAATAAAAAACAATAATAGTAATAATATTACTAACCTCTATCGAATCCTAATTTTTTTTTCTCATTCCTACCAGAGCAGTCACATCAGGTCGATACAGAATCGATACTGTCACACCTACTAGAACAGTCACATCAGGTCAATACATAATCGATACCGTCACCCATCACCGTACCAGAACAGTCACATCAAGTCGATACAGAATCGATACCGTCACCGTGACTGACTATAGATGTTGTAGGAAGCATTGTAAGGTATAATACTAATATATTAAAAATTGCTACAAATATATATTTCTAAATTAAAAAATATATATATATACTACATCTTTTATTTTATTTCATCACAAAAGTTTACACGGCCTAGCCTCGTCAGTTCCTAGCCGGCTTTTTTTAATGAATCGTAGATAAAAGTATTGATTTTATATGAAGATACACTTTTAAAAAAAAAAAAAAATATAAGAAAATAAATTATTTGATTTATATGACGATAATATAGAATAAAATGTCATTTCATACCATTATTTTTTATTTCAATACTTTACTATAGAATTAAAAAGAAATTGATATAGAATAAGGTGTCATTTCTTACTATTATTTTTTATTTTAATTTTTTTAATTAAAATGAGTCCTCTTTTCCGACTCGTCACGATTCGAATGGTTGGGGACGACCCGTCATGTCCACGATTCAAATTTCTTCGATCCATGGTATCAACAAGGGTTGAAACAAAAAAAAAATCAACCAATACACCCCTAATTCTTCATGAAGTATTATACCCCTAATTCTTCATGAAGTATTATACCCCTAATTCTTCATGAAGTATTATACCCCTAATTCCCTAATTCTTCATGAAGTATTATACCCCTAATTCCCTAATTCTTCATGAAGTATTATACCCCTAAGTCTTCATGAAGTATTATACCCCTAATTCTTCATGAAGTATTATACCCCTAAGTCTTCATGAAGTATTATACCCCTAAGTCTTCATGAAGTATTATACCCCTAAGTCTTCATGAAGTATTATACCCCTAAGTCTTCATGAAGTATTATACCCCCAATTCTTCACCCTAAACCCTTCATACCCCTAATTCTTCATGAAGTATTATACCCCCAATTCTTCATGAAGTATTATACCCCCAATTCTTCATGAAGTATTATACCCCTAAGTCTTCATGAAGTATTATACCCCAGTACACCCTTAACTTTTCATGAAGTACACAAGAACATTACAAAAAAACTGATAACAAAAAACCATATAGACAAAAAAAAAAAAAACAAAAAATCACCGTTTAAAAATACACCTCTTACACCCTAACTTTTCATGGGTTTCATAAACCCAAGCAACCAAGCCAACAGTGTTTTGCTCGTCTCGGCCTTTTTGTCTTTTTGAGCAGAGGTCTCAGCTTCTTCCGGGCTCATCTCGGCCTTTTTGGCTTTCCGAGCAGAGGTCTCAGTCCGAGCAGAGATCTCAACAAGCAAGTGATTTTGCTCCCAAGCATGATAATATTCTATCCTGTCCGAAAGTTGACTACTAAATTTGAATTCTACGATGGATAAATTTTCTAAAATGACACCACCTTCCTTTGCTGTTTCTGAAAGGGTTCGAAAGATGTCATGTGAAATACAAGATGCGTTGTTTGATAATTCAAACGCAGTTGATTTGGACATTATATTATGAACCTTTTCGAACGCAATAGAACTCATCATCTAACAACAAAAACAAAAAAAAAAAATGATGAATAAAAATGATAATTGTGTACCTCTCAAAATAAATTTAAATTCAACAATAGAGAAATTGTCTAAAATTATATCAGTTAGAGTACTAAATTTAAATTCAACAATAAATAAATTTTCTAAAATTATACTACTCCCTTTTGACGGTTCTCGAGTTGATTTGGAGATTATGTCATGACCTTTTTAAAGGTAATAGATTTCATCGAGAACAAAAATAAAGTGTAAAAATGTCATCCTTACATTGAAAAAAAATAATATTTACTCACCTTTGTGGGTACATCATACAAATAAAAAACAATAATAATAATAATATTACTAACCCAATAATCCTAATTTACATCATACAAATAAAAAACAATAATAATAATAATATTACTAACCCCAATCGAATCCTAATTTACATCATACAAATAAAAAACAATAATAGTAATAATATTACTAACCTCTATCGAATCCTAATTTTTTTTTCTCATTCCTACCAGAGCAGTCACATCAGGTCGATACAGAATCGATACTGTCACACCTACTAGAACAGTCACATCAGGTTAATACATAATCGATACCGTCACCCATCACCGTACCAAAATGATATTGGTGTACCTCTCAAAATAAAAATAATAAAAAAAAATTTAGTCACCTCTGTGTAATAATCGAATCCTAGTTTTTTTTGTCATCTCTACTAGGAGAGAGACATCAGGTCGATAGAGAATTCTTATTGTCACGGTCACCGACTGTAAATTCTGTAAAAAGCATTGGAGCGTGATCGTTTGTGGACGACAAGTCATATCCACAATACGAATTTCATCAATCCAAGGGATTGAGAAGTGCATCCCTTCTCGGACGACAGCCTCCTTGGGCGTTCCGCCAAATTTTCTAAATATTATCCCGGCCTCGCCAGGATGCAACGTGTAATTTGATCCACCCGTAAGTATGGCTGCTCCAGCTATAACGTTGAGTGACCTAACTATAGATAACCAACGCCTAGCCGACATTGACAATTAGCAAGGGAGGGTTTGTAGCAGAAGAATGGTTGGCAAGGAAGGGTTTGAAGGCAAGGGAGGGTTTGAAGGCAAGGGAGGGTTTGAAGGGAGATCGTCGGCAAGGGAGGGTTTGAAGGGAGATCGTCGGCAAGGGAGGGTTTGAAGGCAAGGGAGGGTTTGAAGGGAGATCGTTGGCAAGGGAGGGTTTGAAGGCAAGTGAGGGTTTGAAGGGAGATCGTCGGCAAGGGAGGGTTTGAAGGCAAGGGAGCGTTTGGCAAGGGAGATCGTCAAGCAAAGAATGGCAGTGGGAATCGCAAAGAATGGCAGTGGGAATCGTGGCACAAGGCTATATATAGGCAAGCTTGTGGAAGGCTATTTTATAAGCAAATTCCTCAAGTTTTTCCACTGGGGAGGGACTCTAATGAATGTGATTTTAGGTCAAACCTATTTTTTAACATATAAAATCCTGAGATCAAAATCTTCCCCTTCAATTCTACCTCCTTCCCTCCCTCTCTGTGATGTGTTATGCTGTTTTTACTTATTGTCTGTTTCTTCTTTTACAGCCCTGCATTGAATTGGCAAAAAGTTACGGCACTGGAAATGTTGACGAACTAGGCACTGTTTTTCAAACAAACAGGGAGAAATTTGATAGTGTTAGAATTATTTCACTATGTTATCACTTCAGATGGTCTAGTTACATTACATGGTATGTGCATGCATTGAAGAGAGCTTGGTTTGTTAGATATGGGCTTGTCCATCTATTGCCTAAATGCTTCTATTTTTTTTTATATGAGTTATGGATTGTGTGTTATACCAGGACAACAATCTTGGACTCGTGAAGCAGGCTGCAACATTCAGAGATTGACGCTTACGTACTTGACCCTCTCACTTCAAGATATAGCAAATACTGTTAAGCTCAACCGTCCTAAAGGAGCTGAAATGCATGTGCTACAAATGGTAACTTCAGAATCGCAGGATTAATCTATAAATCAGCATCCATCTCTAGTACTATCAGTTTTTGGTACAATTTTAGATCCAGGAGGGTGAGATTTTTTGCAACGATTAATCAGAAGGATGGAATGATTCATACTGTTTTCTTTAAATATATTGGCAGTGAGGCATGCTCATCTGTACCAATTTCACAAGACCAATCCAGCTCAATTGTTCCGACTATTTCAAGATTTATCTCTTCTTGCAGCCAGGAGCAGATTCTTTTAGCGCCTGAAAAATGTAAAGTTGTCTATGAGTTATTACTGTCATCCCTGCCCAAGCACTAACATCAGGTCTCGGAGTGAGCATCCCTTCTCGGACGGCCTCTTTAGGCGTTGCACCGCCAACCCGCCTAAGGACTATCCCGATCTTCCTCCATCCCTTGCCTCTGTTGTCAGTGGGTGAAGATGTGAAGACCGCTACTCTGTGGCGAAAATTGTGTTTGGTTGAAAGGAGTTTGAACTTCCTCTTCTTCTGTCTTATAAACAGTGTAGTGAGAAACACAAACTGCCGCTTCTTCTTCTGTTCTATAAATAAGATCTATATAAACAAGCTCTGTGAATTCTAAACAAGCTTTTTATATAAATTCTAAACACTCTACTTAGAATTCTAAATACATTCCGTGAAATTAGGCGAGGTTCGTCTTAGCCAACCGAACACAACTGGTGTATAATTCAAGTTTGTTGTTTACCCACACATATATGTATTGAGTGCATGCTTAATCGACTTGCCATTGCACTAAGTCCAAGTCTTTCGATTCATATCTTGCTTTTGGTCAAGGTCTCTAAAATGCATATCTTACTTCTACTCAAATTTTATAATTCAATTTAGTTGTAGTAATGATGCGTAACAAAACAACATTTATATAAATTAAGGGCATGAAAAAACAAAGTTACAAAAGGTCCTCGGACGAAATCAACTTGATTAACCAATCATATTCATTTCTATTGGAGAGGAATATGGGAATATCCGAATCTATAGCTCTATTTGTGGACCAGTTTCCCATTTTCATCGACAAATCCGCCTTCATTTTTCAACCTAGGTTACCACTCACAGCTTCCTATATATTCCTCATTTCAGCCTCATTACCGTACACTGCCATTACTTTCTCTCGGATCTATTTAATTACCCATTCATAAACATGGCCAAGATTAAGATCGGGATTAATGGTATTCGTTTCTTTCTCTCTTTTTTTTTTTTTTTTTTTTTTTTTTTTTTTTTTTTTTTTTTTTTTTTTT